ATCCCCTAGCAAGAACCCATGTGTTCGGCAAACGCGATTCAATTCGCCTTTTCGCCCGTCACTTCGAAGGATCATCCCTCGGAGAATGGATTTCCATAGTATGGATGGGAAGGCGAACTTTTGGATTTTCCCTGTTCTTGTTTCATAGTACTGGTATTCACAGATATAATATTTTTTTCCTCCTGGCAACCAGTTAGTGATTCGACCCCTTTTTCGGAGTAAGTGGAAGAGGGTCGGTAGAAGCTCAAACGGACCTGTTCTGGGATTGATGGCTTGGGCGATGACGGGAACCATGTCGTGAAGATGGGGACAAGACACGGCTAGCTCGACTCGAGCTTGGGTGAGAGAATTAACTCTTGGAGCCAGTTCTTGGCTTGTCACCGATCGGTTATCATTGGGTTGATACTGCTCCAATCCATGGCAGAGGGACCGGGAGCTACAGTAACTTTACCCAGCAGAGCAACTCCTTGAAGCAAACACTTGGAACCAGGCCAGAGGATCATGTACTCTGCGTAAGATGCCACTGCGAGTGCTCTGTAATCTGTATAGTGTTGTGTCCGGAGATCAAAGTGGGTGGTAGTAGAAGTTCATTGTTTTCCGTATACCATCAAACTGCCGCATGGAAACTAATATTAGTTACTAGTTACTAACTACCGATTAGTCGAGAGATTTCCACAGTTTGTCGAAAAGGGTCAAGTTTTGAACACAAGAGGTCAAACATTCTGCTGATGGAAGAAAAGTAGAGAAACGCCATAGTCGCACTTGGTCATCTGCCACCTGCATCGGCCGCCAGCCAGCAGCCACTGATAGCTCGATGGCTTGGGCGTTGGCATCGTGGAGTGGCAGCTCGTATCTATCCCCGAGCTAGTTCTGCCCTAACTGGAACTGACCAGGTCTGACCCAAGCAAGCCGTTTACTTTGTCGGGCTAACTTATTATTAGGCGATTCTCCCCAGGTCAAGGCCGACGATTCCAAGGTGTTTCTTTCGAGTCTCAACCGCTTCGTTCTTTCTTCTTCATTCTCCCTCCATCGTCATCGCCCTCATCTCTCTCGCCGCAGCTCCTCCTTCTTGGCATACAATCGATCGTTCGGAGTCTTCATATCTAGATACTGGCTGCGTCTCCACCACTTCTCGTATGTCGCACTCCAGCGCGTCCTGGTTGATGTCGTTTTGCGCAGGGTCCCCCTACCCCTCACACGCCCTCCCTCCCTCGCGCTCTCATGGGCGCTCGAGGTTCCTACACCATTCCTATAGACTGCAGCAAAGGCATTGGGTAGTGTAAATCACGCTCCTGTTTCCATTAGCCTCATACATAGATACATAGATAGTTATATTTTTTTTCCCGCTGCTGGTTGTGACTCTGGCGGTCGAATCAAATGGCCGATGTTGATTCGTTAGCTCAAAATCGCCGGCGAGGTCGCGATGAAGGCCGGGATGCCTCACACGCAGGCCATGACCAGCATGATAGCGGGGAACCTTCGCACTCGCAGAGCGACTCGATCAAGAAACGGAAGAGGACCCGGAAAGGCGATTCCGAGAAGAAGTTTGAATGTAAACATGAGGGTTGCGGGAAGAGTTACTCCAGAGCTGAACATCTGTATAGACATCAGCTGAACCGTAAGTTACCTATCTTTTCCCTTGTTAAATGTCCTTCTCTTGCTTCTGAATTACATGAGCTACATTATCTTTTGAGGAGTGATTATATTTGTATTGTATTGTTGGGTTTCTATCTCTCTACGTCGTCCCCCTCTTCCATTTCGCTCTCCTCACCGCTGATTGATGATTTGCAGATACGCCAAAACACATCTATCGCTGCGACTTTCCAGACTGCTATCGTTCCTTCGTTCGACAAGATCTCTGTGTTTGTCATCGAGAACGTCACACAACTCATGGTTCGCAGCTCCAAAAGCGCGACAACTTCACTCATACAGCCAATACACTCGCTGCCGTCGCTCCCCAAGTGCGAAACGCTTTCCCAACCGGAAATGGGACAAATATAACATGTTCCCCGACAGATGATTCAATTTCACCGTACCCGAAGCAAATACCATCTGAAAATGCGTCGGGGAACATGTCGAGACCACGTCTTCCCGCGTCCTCCTCTGCTCCTAATGGCGGACCCACTAATGGCCAAAACTACTCTCATTCCTCTGCTGTTCGCTCCGCTGGCTCCTCCTCTTCCACCTCGATTGAAAATCATCTACAGCTGCTTACGCCACAGCAACAATATGCTGTCCCAAATCCGCGACTAAAACGGTCAGACAGTTCCAGTAGTTACACGCTCAGTCCTCAAAAGCAGTCCACATCGATGTATGGAGTCTCAAATCGTCAACCAGGATATGGAAATATGATGGGCCAACGAT